TCCAGATGTGCTACAACGTATCTGATCAAGCCAGACGCATTCGATTGACGTGGCGGCAGCAATAAGCGCACTCAAACGTTCGTCACATTGTTAACAGCTGACATATTAAGTCAAATGCATTTGTAGCACTTTCAGACGTGCTTCAGCGGACTTTATTAAACCGACCGCATCCGATTGACGTGACGGCAGCAATAAACGCACTTAAACGTTCGTCACCTTGTCAGCAGCTGATATATCAAGTCTTATACGTTGGTTGTTCTTTCAGATGTGCAACAGCGTTTTGATTAAACCAGACGCATCCAATTGACGCGCTGGCAACAGTTAACGACTTAAACAATCGTCACATTGTGAGAGCTAAGATATCAAGTCACATGCGTTTAAACAACTCAAACAATCGTCACATTGTGAGCAGCTAATATATCAAGTCACATGCGTTTATAGCACTTTCAAGCGTGCTTCAGTAATCTAATCAAACCAGAGCATCCGATTGACGCGGCAACAACAGTTTACGGACTCAACGTTCGTCACGTTATCAGCAGCTGAGATGAAACGCACGTCTTATGCGTTTTAAGCTCTTTCAGATGTGCTACAGCGTATCTGATCAAGCCAGACGCATCGACGTTCCTTCGTGTTGTGCTTTCTAAAAGAACGATCGAAGGTTTGCGATAAGTATAATTTTGGATAGTATGAAGCTCGCGGAATCATTTGTGAGCGCGACCGATACCGGAATACGATAAGTTTCAATTTCTAGTCAGATCAGCGGTTTAGTGCTGAGCAGCAAGATGGATACGTTCTCATCGATAACGCGAAATTATATAAATCCGTCACCGGTAAAAATGAATAGCTGATCACCTTCGAAACTGGTAGTGGCGCAACATTTTTTAGCTCATAACTCAAATGAAAATTTCATCGTTGGACACATATGCATTAAAATGATTGCATTATACGTCCGCATGGGTGGTATTTAAGAATTCGTGAATAAATCGTGTCTGGACGAGATGTTAAGTCGAGATGATGCCTAGCGACGTTAACGAAGCGACGTTAACGAAGCGAATTTCACGATTAGCCTTGATTAAGCGCTTGCCATTAATTTTAAGAAGCCATCGCATTGAGTTTATAGACTTTTTTCATCTTTGTTTGGTGATGTCTTTTTTGTTTGCCAAGTATGATGGCATTAGTCTTTAAGATGAACACGTGGCTTCTCAAATGTTTTCAATAACACAATTTTCTCCTTACTCACAAAGAAATAACATTGCTTCATGACATTTAAAAGTCTCTTACTGAATTGTAGACTACGATACCACTTCAGCTCTCGGTTAGTTGGTAACTGCATTATCTAATTTATGGCTAAGAAAATAGTGATACTCAGGAGACGCCAGAACCTGTGAAGGATTGAGCTATAAATGAATTCTTCTTCTATCGAGATAAATGTAAAACACTCACGCATCGCTAGCTTACTTAATCAACATAGATCTTGGTTTGGCGTTTGCCAAGCGTAAGGGAATAGAGACGGCCCTTTATCATTGAAATATTAAAGATCAAGCCTAAGTCACACTCTTTGCAACACCATTCGCAGCTTGAGAGACTGATAACGTATATGTTCACAGAAATTTGTTGTCTGCCCGTGATGACCATTTGCCACATTTCTGCAGTATTCTTGTCCGCAAATGATTTCAGTATTATCGATGCTGCCAATACAATTATCATTAACTTTATCCATCACGATATCAAGCATCTAATGAAGACTTTTGCCCGACAGCTTAGGTTTCACATTTGGGCCAAATTCCATTATATTGAATGTATTGCTGCTTTTCTCCTGCATCGCTGGAATTGGTGAATCTCGAAAATGCCAAGAATGTTAAGTTGCCACGACCTGATGTGATTTGTTTGCGAGTAAGAAGAAAGTATGCTACTGGAATCATTTGAGCTATCATGAAACCGGCTAATGCTATGATACTTGGCATTGAAATAAGGCATCACTAAAGATATCGAAAACTGAAACGCAAGCGTTTTTGAAGTTGATATTGGACGCTTAATTAAGTTCTAAGTATGTTTGTAAAATTAGCGTCATTAAAGTCGATAGGAATCGTCTTGAATGTTGGCATCTCATCAAGACACGACTTTTCCAGACCAGCAAGATCACCGTCACTTTTGATATATGATACAATTATCCTCAATCCACATGAGTCCACTGATCGAGATCTCAGTTGAAAGGATGTAGATGATAATGTTGCGCCAGTACCAGTTTCGCAGGTTATCAGCTCCTTATTTTTGCTTGTGAGGGATTTGAATAGGCGTCTCGAGTACTTGTGCGATGATAACGTATCCATCTTGCTGCTCAGCATTAGAACGCTAGCCTGACTCGGAATTGTAACACTCGCATTCCAGTATCGATCGAGCTTATAAGTGATGGCACGGGCTTTATACCTGCCAAAATTGTACTTATCACACACCTTCGATTGTTCTTTTGAGAAAGCACAATACAAAGGAACGTTGTCGTACACGCCCCAGGCTGAGACAGAGTCCGTAAAGCGCTTTTTCAATTCTGCCAATGAAGGTGTCGGTCTCCCCCACAACTCCGAGAACGAAATGAGGAGTTGCAACATTTCAAAGCCGTCTTCATCAGGACCCGAATCAAAATAACCAGTATCTATCACACTGGCAATGAAGGTCGTCAAGACTTCCATGTCATGGGGCTGACAGCGCTTGAGACGGTACACGAATTGAGGAATTGTCATGTACAAAATTGGGTTTGTAAGCAGAGATGAAAAAAATCTTCGCAATTTGAACGAGGCTGGCCACTTTGATTTAGTTACATTCATCGTATTTATTATCTCAAAACACGCTGAGTCAGGTTGATTGTCGAGAGCGGTCAAAATATCTTGATATGCAGCAATTAACGTATCTGGAGCTTTGAAATGGGAACTGCAGACACGGTCGTGATCGCAACGCTTCATAAAAGTTGTTGCCACTTCGTTATCGATAAGGTCTTTTTCTTTAAAATAATTATTCACTCCCGTGGTAACCATTGGCGAATCCAGAACGTACCCAATAACTTCAGAAGGGGCGAGGTGCATGAGATGTTTCACCGTTAATGCTCCGTAGTTGGTACCATACACGAAAGTGTGAGCGCCATTGGAAAGCTTAGAGATCAATTTAAAAAC